TCTAACCGGTACGAAGAGGTACAAAAACGTGACGTCAGAACACTGTCGGTTACTGATTGGTCGGGGGCGGAGTCGGGGGCGGAGTCACTGGATCCTTCAGAAACTTTTCAAAACAATAATCTGCCATTTGCAATTTCTTGGACTGGAACAGCAGCTGGATTTATTTTAAAGATTTTTAAAACAATACTGACAACATCTTGGTCTAATGCTGATGTGCTGGCATTTTTTGTGCTTGGTGGCTGACAACATAATTTAGAGCAAGCTGGATGGAGCTCTGCTGGTCTACCCTGATCCTCCCTCCGGAGCCTCGGAGCGCCAGGCCGGTGTTGTGTTTTTTATCTTATTTCTCCACCCGAGCTCTGCTGTTACCGTTCCCCTGCAGGAGGAGTCAAGACACGCACTCAGAATACGACAAACGCACCTTCAAGTTTACGAATATTTAATAAGCAAAGAAAGTCACAGATTCACAAGCATAAACAGTGGATTAGTTAAATGCAGTCATTATTTTAACATATAATTAATTGGATGCGCATCCATTTAAACTATACGATACAACCTTGTTAAGGAGGAATCTGAAGTCGACCGTCTCTCTGCTCCGTCTGGCTGCCGCTTCGAGGAGAAACTGCACTTTTCTTTGTCTCAAAACAGGGCGTTTCTTCACACATAAAAACTAACTTTTCATCGCGCTCTCAAGCCTGCTGTCATTGGATTGGCCAGTTTCAAACCAATCAGAAGTGTGAGACATCGTGTCACATGATGTAAACCGGAACAGACTTCAACAGAGAAATCAATCTGTGGGAGCCTCTTCAAAGTAAAACAGGAAGTGGGTCAATTTCAAAGTAAAACAAGAAGTGGGAGTCAGATTCAACAAGGAACACAATCTTTATTTCACAACACCGGGCAGAGCGTCATCTCCCCGGCTCCAAGTTCAGCTGGTCACCGCGGAAGATCCTTCGATGTGCCGACTCGGAGGCTCGGGTTCCGGATACCAGCCTTGTGTGCTCAGAGCTCCGCTGGTCACTGCGAAGCTGGAGATGGGGACTCGCAGATGGACGTGGCCAGACCCCGGCCGCACGTAATCATGAAGGCTGAATCCCGATCCCACCCGGCAGTCAGGCGGACGGTGGAAGCGATTTTTAAATAAAAGAACATTTTGTTTTTATACAAAAAATGTTTTAAAAAATTGCTGAAGTGATTTAAAAATGATAATTATCTTTTTTACACGTAAAATGTTTTTTAAAATCGCTTCCACCGTTCGTCGCAGACCCGTCTCTGCCCGCCTGTCTGCGCGGGCCGGGCCATCATGATTATGGGCGGCTGGAGTCTTGGAACGGCCTCTGAGTCACCAGCTGAGCTGGAGCTGGGAGGATGAGCCTGCCCGTCCTGTCTCCGGAGGAGAGGATCGTCATAAAAAATAATATATATATATATATATATATATATATATATATATATATATTTTAGCGTTGAAGATTAAAAAATAAATAAATAAATAAACGGTGCCAGCTTCATCATGAAATCCTGTTTTCACTTTAATGACTGTTAACTCAGCTGAAAATCATAAAAAGACACAAAACTATTGGATCTCAGAAATATTTCCCTCAAACATGTTTAAAGAAAAGAGACGACCTTCAGTTCAACTTTATTTTAACTCACAAATGTACAAATCACAAAACAAGAACTTTAAAGCAAAGCTAAAAATAAAATGTATATATGTGAACAAGAAAGGAAACCACACATCTAAAATGAACATTAAAAGTAGACACAATGAGTGCAAATACATCAAATGATGATGAAAACCTATAAAAATTTAAATGTAATGTTTTTGTAGAATCTGGTTCATCAGAGTTTTAAT